TAGTGGCAAAAGCTGTCCTTTTCTGTATGAGGTCAGGTCAAAAAGGAAGAAGCAGAAATACAAGCGTGGCTAGTAATGTCACAGATAAAGCGGTAAAAACTTTTCATGGTGAAAACGTTTCTTGTAATGCATGTTATAATGCATTTTCCAATGAATTGCAAATTGTACTTGCAGTCAAAGAAGCTGCTGGTTACCTTGTCCCAGCACAGGTCTGGAGGGCCATTTGCAGCAAGTCAGAACACAGAAAAGTCATCCTTGTCCTTCTTCGGTGCTTGTGCACAACTGCCCGCAAAGGTGTTAATGTGAATGGAATTACTTGGTGAAGGTGCCGGACCAGTAAGAGCGTGCCTAATCAGATCACACAGACGACCCCTGTGAGTTCGTAACGAATTGTCCTTCACCGTTCCCGTGTTAGACAGGGCAACATGCTTCCCCACATACTTGTCCTGTTCTTTGCCGACTCGGACCGCCTGTGAACCAATGACATAAAGCTGAAAGCATCTGTCTCTCTTTATTGATCCTTTGGGGAATACAAACCCCTTGGAATAAAATGTTTAACACAGTAGTCACTAAGTTAGTGTGAAATGCTGCATTTCTTTTTTCAAGTAACCGTGCTTGGAACCAAAAATGCAAGCACTTGGGAGTAATGGGATTCTTATGTAAAAATGATCATAACTCTAATCTCATCTGAAATTCTTTTCAGTTTTTACCGCAGTGCTTTTCTGCAAGTGGTTGTGAGTGGAAAGCATAAAAACAGTATTTTTATGGGGAGGAAGGGGAAAGACTTGCCAAGGGGCTAAGTGGAATGATAAATTGCTTGCCCACTGAAATTATGGGTATCCAGTTTCTTGCATTTTGTAGCTCTTCCTTTCTGCAGCAGGGAGAACAGCTGAACAATTTTCTATTTACAAGTGTGCAAGAGGTGCATACACATGGCCAGCTCAGCACTTACCTTGCTTAAGAAGGAATGTGGCAAAAAGCAGATTTGACAGCTGCTTGATCAGTCGATGTTAAAAGGAAATACTTTACACTGAACTGTGTGGCAAATAGAAATAACATCCAATAATGCGTATTCAAAGGGGAAAGTGACTAGGAAAAGCAAATGTCCTGATCAGAATGTATTTAAAGTTGTAATTTCACTTCAGGCTGCCTTACCCTCTGTGGTATCTGTGTCTTCTTCTCACTCCCCCAGTTCATTGCTCGATGGCTCTGCCACCTCCGGATCCGCAGTTTGTTCTCAGAGGTGCCAGTGCTGCAGTCCACACTCTGCATTTTTCCTGTGGCAGCCAGGAACCTGATGTCCCCATTCTTTTCTCTGGGTAAGTAAACTAGGATCTCTGGCTGAGTTGAGTGTGATATGGATATATCCTTTTAAAACAAAGTGTATTATTTAGATAAATTGTATCTGGAGAAAACAACAAAATGCATGATGGGTGTGTTATCTTTCTACATACAGCTTCAGTTTTGAAAAAAAAGGAAAAGGATCAGGCTGTCTTATCAACTTGTCTGCAGTGGTTGCATTAAAAGCATCTGTTTTTACTGCCAGGTCTGAGAATGGGTTTGTCCATGTCTGGAACCTGAAAACACACAGAGTGGACACAGCACTGGATGGCCATGGAAGAAAATCTGTCTACTGTGTGGAGACAATGGGTGGTAAAGACAGGCTCCTCAGGTTAGCAAAGCAGGCAAAAACCAGTGAAATTATTCTTGTTTCTGTGATGTACAGGATTGAAGAAGAAAAGAAAAAAGAAAAAAAAAAGGGAATCTATTATTTCTGGAGTCACTGAAAGTCTCTCCAACACATATGGAAATGTACAAAAGTACAAAAATACAGAAAAACTGTAGAACAGAAAGTGGAAAAAATTATACAATTAATTTCTTTATGATATATATGTGACAACATCACAACAACTTGGGGTCCATAGCGTATTACTACATTAAGATCAGGTGAGGTCTTTGGGTAAAGGAAATACACTTGGATTTGAAGTTGACAAATGCTTCACAGCTGGTTCTCAGGGAAGATCAAAATTGATATAAAGAGTTCATAAATAGAGGGGAGAGGAAGAAAAGGTAAGGAAGGAAGAGAAGGATCAGAGATAGAGAATGGAAGGCTGAAAATGAGCAAGAAGGCTGAGTTGCACACCTTTGCTTTGTTGCAAAATATCTGTTCTCGTTTAGCAAGGGAAGGTCGGGGAGATTTGTGTACTTTGGATTAGACAGGTGATCTAGAGTAGATGCCAAAGTGTCTGTATGACTAGGAGGTGTTCTGACATGTTTATCTAGAGAAGACATCTCTTATAATATACAGTGGAACTCATTAGCATTTATTTTGTTATCTGCTTAAGTACAATTATCAACACTCTCCCCCATAAAATCATATTGAATGAGCATTGTTTGTATAATTGTAGAGTTTTTCCATACCTCTATTTTTGCTGTATATTTATAACAGTTCACATAGCAGTGCAATTTTAGGACAGCAGTTATCTGTATTTTTTGTTTCTCTGTTCTAAAGCTAAATCACAACCATTTCTTGCAGTACCACATTGTTTGTATGCCCAGTGCTATAAATGTTTTGACAGTTTGTCACTCAGCTGAACAGCAGATGGGAGTTTCTGTATTGATGTTGAAGAAGTCCCAACAGCCTAGATTTGCATCTACCTCTGTTTTGGTTTCATGCTTCTATCAGGTGATACTGCTAATTAAAATACGAAACGGATAAGGGATTTTTGATGACTCCTTGTCCCAGGTGATAACATGAGGACACGTATCCTGTGCTACTGTAGTTTGTGAATTGGAAGCTTCTCCACGGCGGTACTTTGTTCCAGAGCCAGTGGGATCACATAAATTTGCAGCAATTGATGCTGTGCCCTTTGTCTGGCCTTCTTGGTCTTACCGTCTGGGACCAACACGCAGACTTTTCTGTGGGACAGAGAGGTTTGCAGAGGAGTCTCTGCGTGAGCTGCACTAGTACACTGGCGACGCAGCCACTCATTCTCTGGTTTTGGATGTTTTAACCACAGCGTTTCATTGTTTAATTCCTGGTACTCCCTGCACTGCCAGTCCCTCTCCTGTTGTGCCTCCACACATACACAGTTGTAACAGCTGTCTGTGCCCTCCCTGCGGCTGTGGGAAGTTGACCACCGAATAACTGTAGCTTTTTATTTATCTTTGATGTGGTCTTTGTTGTCTTGCTGTTTGTCTTTCAGCTGTCAATACACCTGACATTTCTATTTCATTGCTAGGGTGAAAGACTGTTAAATGTGTTACTCTCTGGATGCTTTTGTTTCCTTTTAAATTAGATCTAAACAATGGTGAAATGTAAGTATTTTTATTATGAAAATGTTCAGATACTCATGGGACTTCATAAATATATGCGCACACATACATAGCATAACGGTGTTTGGCCGAGTCTCTCTTCACGAGGAAGCATGGCTCACGGTGGCTGCAGCGTATCTGACTGACCACAGGCCCTCCCTCCCCCCGGTAACTTTTGAACCTATTGCCCACAGCTGCAGTCAGCAGAAGGGTGGTGGTCTCGGTGATACCGCGTTCCCACACATTTCATGGAAGACCAGATCAATACCCCCTCAGAAGCCGTACTAAGCTCATTCCTTTACTGCATGTTAAAGACCCAACTCCGATATGCTAACCTGCAGGAAGCCAGGCCTCCCCAGACCTGCTGCTCATGGATAACTTGTTTTACTCTAACAGTCAGGGTCGTGACCAGAGGATCTGCTTGTGGGATTTAGCAGAGGGACGGACTTCAGTGGCGGATTCTGTCTTCACGGAGAATGTGGGATTCTGCAGATGCTCTCTGTTAAAGGTGGCACAGGGACGCTGGCTAATGGCCATGGCAGCCAAAGCCCTGGAGGAGGTAGGAAGCGTCTCTTTTTCTGGTGCTTGGGAGATTTTGGTTTTGAAATGAGATAGTTCGGAAGGGGAAACATCACTGCTCTTAAATTCTCTGCTCAAGAGAGGGCAGCACAAGGAACCTTTGGGGGTTCTCATCACTAATTTTACCTGCCAGAAAGGTGACTGAATTATATAGCCCATGCTCTAATAGCAAGGATACCACCCCAAGATTTGTCTGACATTTAAGTATTTGCAGCTGCTGCTGCTCTTTCATGTGCGGGAGTTTTGAAAACTCCTCTGGTGCTGCTGAATACTGTTAAAGGGGAACAAGAGTCCTCCTGGGGAGCTAATGGTCAGAAAGTCTGTCATCAGATGGAAGTACTCATCTTCCATCCGAAGCTGAAAGTCGTGTTTGGTGAGAGAAGGGGAGGTGCAGGCGATTTGTAATGCGATATGTGGTCCTTCACCCCGGGCTAATTCTTTAACTGGTACTTGGGCTGGAAATAGTTGAATTACTATTAGCGGCCAGAGGTTTGCTCAGTGTGGGATAATTGTAGGGTCCGTTTCAGTTCCTACTGGATGAGTCCACCTCTAATACCCATTATCACAGCAGTCATTGACTGACAGCTGTGTTGGCAATTTCCACTTCTGCTTTGTAGAAATCGTATTTTTGTTTCCTTTGAAGGACTATTTGAGGACATCACACAAAAATAAATTATTTCAAATACTTGACACCAAAATACCAAAAATATGAAAAAAGAAAAAAGCGGCATAAGTATGAAAAGAAATATTGTAGCTAATTGCAAATTGTTCATAAGCATAAAAGGTCACATGCTTTTCTGGACTATAGGATGCAAATCTTGAAACTGGAAGTTGCATATTTTATATATGAAGTAATAAGTGGGAATGGTGCCTGTGTCGCAAGAAAATGCGAAGTTTTTATTATTCAGAAGTTAAGCACATATTTAAGTACTTTGTTGGCTCACAGCCAGAATGTTCAGCCTTTTACAGAACTGGGTAAGCCTGTAGACACAACCACGGTACTAGTAAATACAACGACTCTAAGTCCCATACCTTGTTCTGATCAAACAAAGAACTCTCTCCATTTTACAACAGCGCTCAATAACATTTAAGTTAAACAAAATTGACAAGTGCATTCTTGTGTCAGCCGGAGAAGAGTTTTTGTGTCAGGCAACGAGTGCGCACACACATTCTGGTAATGAAGGATTAAATAATCATCTGATCCAAAGAGAAGACGTTTACCCCAATGTCTCTTACAACCCATCTCTGGTTTTGTTTTCATTTGTTTGCTTGGGCCCTGCAAACTGATAATGATTTGCTGTCTCCTGAGGTAAAAGAGTTCTACTCTGCGTATGAACCTTTACATTAGAACTGTGTCAGGTTTCAATAAATTCACATAAGCTCCCATAATATATAGTGCTTCCAAATAGGCAGCACTGTGTGAGACACAGTACATTTGCAGCTTATGATTAAAATTAAGACTTAATAAGTGTTTATGCTTGGCTGGTGCCCAAAAAAAGAGTAATTTTGTCTTAAAGCAGGTTCAGTCCATAAATAATGAGATCTGAACAGGCATTTATTTGTTCATGATTGCATTTAAATCACCAATTATGAGTTACACGCACTTTTCTTGCCAATTTGCCAGAAACATGTTAAGAGCTTTATTAATGTGAAAAAGAAAAAGGGTGTGTTTCCTTGTGGCCAGTTTTAGCCACCCAGGAACACTATTAACCTCAGGCAAAGGCAAATCTTTCTCCTATTAAGCAAAACCAATATAAACACAGAACTTCAAGTTTTAGGTTACAGTTGTCAAACTACATGAAATAGTATTTATTTCTAAGGCTCAGTTGCCTCTAATGCAGAAAGTCTCTGGAACTGTCAATCTGGCGTAGGCAGTTCATACCTGCCTGCCTTCTGCAAAAAGCTTTTCTCATCTTTGTGTTTTTCTTTGTCCTTTGCAAGCCCCACTGTAGCCCTTGTACCAGTTCATCCATTTTTAACCAAGGTAAAGCGAAGAAGGTTGGTTTTTTGGTTTTTTTCTCTTTTAACCTGCAGAAGTGCATTTATCACAGCGCACTTATCCTTCCTTATTAGGTAAAAGTTGCAGTTTCAGTCTTGTCTAGGAGGCAATGCCCTTTGGAGAGCCAGTGATGAAAGACGCAAGATGAGAGCAGGTCGTCTTCATATTTGTAGCCCATTGCCTGCAATAGCTAACTTGGTCATTATGTTGATAGCAAGAAAGTTGCCAAGAGAAAAGCATCTTTTCATAGAATCATAGAATCATTAAGGTTGGAAAAGACCTCTAAGATCATCGAGTCCAACCGTCAACCCAACACCACCATGCCCACTAAACCATGTCCCTAAGCGCCTCATCTACACGTCTTTTAAATACTTCCAGGGATGGTGACTCAACCACTTCCCTGGGCAGCCTCTTCCAATGTTTAACCACTCATCTTTTGTTAAGAGTGTAGCTCCAAAGAACCAGAATTCCCAGATGGTCAAACTTTGGTCTGTTCATAGGTTTGGTCTACATATTGGATGGCTCTTTGCTGTAGTCTCCGTTCCTCAAATCTGGAGAATAGTTTCCTGCTCCATTGCTAAGTGGCTTTAGAAGGTGTTCTGTATATTGTGCTTAGTACATTGTCGACTTGCAGTCCTCAAGTGCAGCTGGCTTTTGGCAGGCTAGCTGACAACCTGTAGAAATAGGAAGATGTTCTGGCAAGCTTTGAACTAAAGGTATGGGATTGGAAAGCCGTCGCAGCTGCTGTGGCCTTGACTGATGGCTCCCATAGGAGCCATATTTGTGTAATACCTCATCTCAGATGCTTAAGGAAATTCGCATGACTGGGGCCGTCCAACAGCACTGCTGGGCTTTTGCACGTTCTGAAGTAGCCTAGAGTGGCTGGTGGTGCTGGATTTATCAAATGTTTGAAGTCCTTTAATTTTACGAGATAATGCAGACCACTGTTTATTTAATTAAAATAAAAGATCACCTTAGTGATTTAAGTATGCATGTGAGAAACAGTGACGTTCCTGGCAGCAAGTTTTTGATACCTAAGAACTTCTATTTCTCCATAGTTCCAGGCTTGAGAATCAGCCCAGAGTGAGCCACTTCTGTGTCAATCAAGAGACTCAAAACCTTCCAGTGCCAAATTGCACAGGCAGACTCCCCTGATCTTGCCTGCCATCATCCTGAGGTGGAAATGAGCTACTTCCTTGGCAGAGGAGAGACTTGCCTGATGTTAAAAAAAAAAAAAAAAAAAAAAAAAAATTAACAATCAGATCCATAATTCATTACCATCAGTGCAAGCAACAGTGGAAGCTGCTATGTAGACAGAGAGCAGGTGTTTAACACAGTATTGTCTGACCCTGCTTTGAATAGGGTCAGGCAACGTTGTGTTAAAAATACCTGTATGCCATCACTGCTCCAGCCTGCATTAGCAGATAATTCTGGGTTTACATCTTGTTAGCGCAGTCAGACAGTAAATGAAAAATCCACCTTAGATATATATATTGCCCATATTTCCACGCAAGCTCTGTGTTACCATGACAGAACAGAGGAGACAATGCAAGTGTTCACAAGTGGATATATAAAAAAAATTAGCAACAGAGATGGAAAAAGGGGAAAGGGAGAGGAAACAGGGAAGTGTTTTCAGATTAAGCAGTCTGCAATATTATCTAGTGTATGCACAGTATCATCTACTGTATGGGAAGAAGACTATAATACAGATTAAATAGAAGAGTGGAAGAAGAGGATGTGTTCATTCTAGCAGTTTTGTCTGGTCTTTCCTAAAACAATGCATTTATTTAGATAGCTGTGGATTCCCCTACAGCTCCAACTTAACATGCATTCCTCAGTTTCCTCCAGACAGTTTTTACTGGAAGAGCTTATACTAGCCTTAATCACCTTAAAAGACTTGTGTTTTTAACAGCAGAATTTTGACCTGGAGCCTGACCAAATACTCTTGTTTTCCTGATGTCAGGTTCAGGTTTTGGAGCTGCCATCCAAGACGTCAGTCTGTACCTTGAAGCCAGAGGTGGGTGCCAAGCTGGGCATGCCCATGTGTCTGAAGTTATGGCAGGTAAGGCAAGAGCGCCTGCTAATTGTGAAATGTTTTCCCTGTGATTCATTTTATATGAAGCACATGAATCTTTCTTCACTTGGATTTTGATTTATTATCAAACCAATCAAGTAATTATACTATTAAAGAGGGGAAAGATTTGTGAACATCCTTAATGTAACTTTCAGAGCTTTCCAAGCTTTAATGGAAGATTTGCAAATGCTCAGGGAAAGCTTTGTATCCTTAGGATAGATAAGGTTTTTGCATCAATCAAGAGGAAAATGAATGACTTACCAAAGCCAGTTGTTTGATACGGTTTCTCGCTGCATTAAGAATGATGAGAAACGATTGGGTTACTTAAAAACAGTGATTTTAATGGCAGGTTACATTCACTTCAATGCCCTCAGGACAAGGAAGCACTCTATGAACGTTTCTATTCCAGACATACAATAGGAACAAAATATTTATGGTTGTATTGACTTTGGACAAAAAGGTTAATAAAAGCAGTTAATGAAAAAAACCCACATTTGCAGAGTATTCAGCAAATAATGTTTATGGGGTGCCACCAGTGAAAGACACGTAATACGAAAAGGTGGCAGTAGAGGGGGGAAGGAGTTTAGGTGATTGGCTCTAAATCTCCAAAGAATTGGTGGCAAAGCTGATTCCCACTTTAACCGCCTGACCGCATACGGTTATAGCTCTGCAGTACCATCCGAGCTGATGTCACGTATGTTATTCCTGCAGGGTCATCTGAACATCTGTATTGGTTTCAGGTGAAAAAATGATCCATCGGCTGTGAATTTGAGGTCTTAGTGTCTTCACTCAAGGTCCTGAACCAACTGAAGTCTAGAGGAATTCAGTCACTGACTTCAGACAAAAGTAGGAGAGGCCACAGTTTAAGTCCCATGATGTAATTAAAAACTAGAAAAAAAAATAGAAGGAAAATTAAATAGACTGATTAGGCTTTTATTAAACAGAAGGTTTCTCCTAAAAATGCAATCAGTGTTCAGTGATTTCACTTAGTGAAATGAATGGGGCTTTCTGTCTCCTGGACATATTTTAATAAGATGAAGATAACTGAGGAAATGTTCAGTGTTGAAAATTTTGTTGCCTGTATAAAAAGTCCTCTGTCTTGCCATATTTTCTACATGCATTAATACTGCTATTCCTCTAGGAAGCAGAGCAGGTGTAGAGTCTTAATTTTATGTAGTTTTTAATTTTGTTGCCAGTGGGGATAAAGCAGAGGACTGGGAACTGGGAAAGGTAAATTATTCCATGAAAATTCTGGCTTTGGGAAGTCACCACAACTTCCTAGACTGCAACAGGCAGGGCAAGATAATCCCTTACAGTCTCACAGCTGTATCTGCTCTTTTACAAATCTGTGCAACTCGGTTTAAAAGCATGGGGGAGGAGGATACTCTTAAGGGTAAATAATTGTATGTGGTGTACCAAAGTGATGCTCTGCGTTCTGTTTTGTGGTTTCGCTGGAAGTGGCTCGCTGAGTGACCTTGTAACCATAAAAGCAGAAGAACACGAGCTAACCCAGCTGCACCCCTTCCTGAACAGAGGCCGCCCAGGATTTCTTTGTACATTACTGCATTGGGCAATATAGACATACCCAGGAGATGAGCACTCCCCAACCCATCGCTTATGGGCAACGTGTTGCCTAAGAGACTATTTGATGTTGCCTATGGCACAGTAAATTAACAAGTTGAAACAGAAGCTGACATGGAGAGAGACACATAATGGTCTGAAGGAAGCATGCTCAGGGTTGTTGTCCAACAAGAGTTTGGGGGCTGCAGCCATGTGTTATCTTATTTTTCTGCATGCCGATAAAAAAAGATCCACGTATCAGGGAAACAACA